AATTTCAGTATTTGCTCCAGAATATCTTATTTTATTTGCTGGTGGAAAAAAAAAAAAAACAGAAAAAAGATCACCTGAGAAAACCCTAAAGATCCCTGCTCTCAAAATCAAGTCCAAAAGTTACTGGTGTCAGTGAAAAGCTGCTCACTAGCTTCCACAGCAACTAAATTAGGTCCTTTGAATGGGACTGGACTAAGGATAGTTTTCCAACACAGTATCAATTTGTTAGGGGAAGAGTAAAGATGATTTACTAATGACATTTCCCAGTTTGTTGTGAGAAGCAAATGAGATAATTAAGAGATGCTGAAAGGCAAGTGAAAAAACGAAGCAGGATAAAAGAGACAGTTCTGGGAAAAACACAAAGGCGTGTTTATATTGTTGCTTGGACTGAAGAGCCAGAAGGTCTGTGGTCTAGAAGAAAAGCACAGAGTGAAGGGCATGGATAAAAGTGTCAAGACTTGTTTATGACATATCTACTTGTTATAAAGAACTATCAGTCTAGAGCTCTTAGTAGAGAAACTGTGATGTTCATGTCGAAAAAAGCAGAAAAGAACTCCAGGAAGAATTTTGACTGTATTTGTACAATGCCTTACAGACTGAAATGCCTGACACAGAAAATGAAGAGGGTAGAGAACCGCATAACACGTAAGTCCACTGAAGTTTATTAAACATAAACGTATTCCATTTCCAGTTCAGTGTGTCTTAACTTGCAGGTTATCAGACATGGGTAGAATCTGCCTAGGTACAAGTACCTTTTATGCCAGAAAAGGAATGTCAGTCTAAGCATATCTTTAATGTTCCCCAGTCCAAACAGACTAAATAGGTTCTAAATGATTTGAGTAGAGAAATCAGAGCCACTATGCTATGTTCAGTATCCCAGGAAGATTCTCTGCTTAGGCCTTTTGAAAGAACAGTGAAATACATGTGCTAAGTTCTTACAACACCTAATGCACAAATTTAATTTTATTCCCAAATAAGCCTGCAATCTAATTAATAGTTGATGATAATTTTCTTTTGCATTTGCTCTTGCTAAATGACAGGGCAAGAATGGGTAATCCCAAATTAAAACAAAGGAAAAAAAAATCCTGAAAGTTTCTGCTGTTTCTAACTATTTTGATTTTTATCTGCATGAACGCTTGCATTCTATTTCATATAAAATATGTGAAGTAGTATCAAAATTGGCCACTTGAGGGCAATACTGTAACCTAATTTTCAGCATTCTGCTCTAAACTAGATTTCCATGTCCTATTAACAGACATATTTCCTGACAGTTGAGGGTCCAGCTTTAGTTGCATATATATGTTAAGTATGATAATTATTTTTCTTTACTCAATTTTTCAAATACCTAATATACAAGAAAGAGAATTTTGGTTATAGTGTCTCATACCACAGTAAGATCTGGTTAGTAAACATGCCCATGGCAGGGGGGTTGGAATTAGATGATCTTTAAAGTCACTTCCAACCCAACCCATTCTGTGATTCTATGATTCTGTGAAACAGCTTCAGTTTAGTATGTTTACTTCACTGTGCAACTTGAAAATCACTTTTTAAGTGATAAGCATAGTTTCAGCTAAGGTTATCTAGAGCTATGCTCATACATTAGTCAACAAATTCAAGTCCGGGAGGAACCTGACATATGTTTTTGATGAGCAAATGGACAATGAGAAAGAAAAGGGGCAGTTCAAGGCAGCCTACAACACAGAAAAATCTTCCCAGGTGACACACAGTGTGGCACTACTGAATTCTGCAAAACTGCATCCTTTGTTATGAACTGGAACCAGATTGGGAAAGACTAATGGCTGAGCAAAGGAAGTACTTTATAATGTGTTAAACCTTGAGATAATTAATCATAAATGAATGTCTTACACACCAGCTTCTACAAAACAGAAAATTATTCATAGGTCAGCTTTTTGTTTAATACACATGCATATTTGATTAATATGAAGGCAGTTATTGCACATAGAGATCTCTCCCTTAATTGGTACCATATGTAAAATAGAAAACTTCCATTTTATTATTATTTTTTCAAAGCACAGATGGTCTAAATAAAGAGTTTCCAAATTTCCTCATGGAAATAAGGCTATTATGTGAGTCTCATAACATTTGTGTGGCAGAAAGCCATTCTCTTCACTGCATTTCCTGCATCTTCCCAACCAGGGCCCAGATCTAGAGTTGTACTTTTGCCACCCCTTGAGCACACACAAAATCTTCGTGCCAATTCAAGATTTAACTTTTTTCTTATCTGAACTGAGATCCTAAAATCTGCATAATCCAAAAAAAGCTCCGGCAGCTGGTGAGTAAAATGAACTTGAACTCTTCCTGAACTGCCATTTGGCCAATGCTTATTCAAGAAGTCATTATAAAGACTTATCACTCTGATTAGGATAAGCAAATCTGAGTCATAAAAATTATTTACAACAGTCTACTAACAGTGGAGAATAGAGTGTTATTTAACTAATTTAAACTTATTTTTTGTCTTTACGCAGTTTCTGTAAATCATTTGTTGTCATTTGGTACCACATCTCCAGACTTGAAAAATACCTCTGTCACGTATACCACGTTCTGGTTAGTTTTAGCAATCATAAAGGGTTGTTTTGCACGGAAGATCAAATTTTAGACTCAAGATACTGAGTTTGTAGTAGTAAAGATGCACCCTTGTGTTAGTTTGTGGTGGTAAGGTTGAAATTCAGCCAAAGTTGTGAATCTGTTTTTTATCAATAATGGTTTAATTGCATTGGCACAAGAAAATTTGCTGAACAGACACTTATATACACTATGCAAATCTCCAAATTATTGTGCAACATTATTGAAAGCAATACGTCTATGATATAATACAGCAGATTAAAACTATTCATTTTAAAAGATGAGTTCAATCAGCTACTCTTGGGGAAAGAACACATCAGACAGTAACAATTTTATTCCAGACCCAAGTCTCCCCTATTTCTGTTGTTCTGTTCTCCCCATTTCTGTTTTTATCAACTACTGACATGCTAGATCTTCACAGTGTAACAACTTCCTTTCCTACACACTAGAGCTGACAAAAACATAATGATTACAGAAGCATTCTGAACCAGATTTACTTGTACAAACACACATAGCTCCACTGCAAAGTCTGGGAGAGGAGATCATGATGCTGGCACTGTATATCTCTCTGGCAACAAGTGATAACTCCACAGAGTTTCCTAGAAACTTGATGTAATCTCATCTCAAAGTTGATCTACAATTGAATTCAAAGAGAATTTTCCCAAAGTCTCTTTCCTGACTGATGCCATCTTTTCTAATGACTCCTGCCTGATGCCTGTGCACCAAGCACAGTAGCCCCTCTGTGATTTTCCCAGTGGAGCTTCTGGCTGCTGAATAAATCCCTCTGATTCCTCCCAGGCTAAACAGTGTGCACTGCTTATGCAGAAAGATAGTCTTATAGACATGCGTTCCATTGTTTTGTTGATTTGTATTTAAAATTCTTCATCACTACAAATGTGCTTTCTGTGGTGCCTACTTTTTGTGTATTTCTTGCCATTTTGACAAGTCTGCCTAAAGCTGTGGAAGATACAACATCACAGCAGCAGTGACAAGACTGGAACTACTGCAGACGTGCTGCTGCTTCTATCTGTCCTTTTTATTGCTTTTTCAGCTGCAAAGTATTCTGTAAATTATCACTGGCACCCCTTTCAGCAGACTTTCCTCAGTTGGAATTATTTTACAGAGTCATATCAGAGCCATTAATGACTAATAACCTTCAAAGTACTGTCTACTTCAGATACTGAACACTTTGGTATTTTAATACACAAAACGAAACTGACTTCCAAGGGTTGAAAGAGGGTGTCCACTAGTCTTTTTAAATGTACATAAAGGAAGTGTAAAATAATATCTTTCAGTGGGGTTCTGAAGAGGGAAAGAGAGGTAAGTAGGTTTGTCTCATCTAATTTTAGCCATCTAGAATTTGCCTTGTTCCCTATGATAGTCATAACCCGGGGAAAGAAACAGATCTTTCTAGAAGGAAACCTATCTCATTCCAAAAGTAGTGTCTAAACTGAGATGTTCTGTACCCTAGAGTTGTCTGCTTCTTCAATAACTAGAATTAGATCATGAGCTTAGAGTAGGCATTTAACTTTCACATAGAGCTAAAATTATAGAACATACCAAATTATTAGCATCATCAAGAGTCCTGGCAGTGATGCCACAACGTTTACGCTGATTCAAAGACAAGACCTGCTCCTGTCCTGAGTGTGTTATATGAGCAAGTACACCCATCCTCAGAGGGCTGCTGAAGGAGTTATGTCACCTCTAGAAATCACTGCTACATTGTGACCTTTTTCCTTCAAAAAGGAGCAGCCGCAAACCTACAGTTCCTTCAAAAAGAGCTGCTGTGTGGAAGGACAGTTCCTTGCTGAAAGAACAAAGGAATGGAAAGATACATTTGGAATCCATACAACTGCTGAGGAAACTAGACATGAAGAGAGAGGGGTCTCTCCAGGCACTTGGACATGGCCAGAGTTAAAGCACGTGGGATACATCCTTCTCCATAAAACCTACAGACCTTGAGAAGCCACTCTCTCCACAGAATACTTCCTTCTCCTTATTTGGATGTGCCCTGACACTCATCCATTCTACTTTACTGCACCTAAAAAAGAAATCTAAACAAATAATTTAAATATTTACTTTTGTTTTTTACAACACTGTCAATATCCAGGCAAAAGATGTTACTTCATCAGAGCGTACTGAAGCTGAGCTTTAGAGAAAACTCCGACTGTGCAACTGCTGTGAAGTTTCACCAGCAAAAACTGGCTTTGAAGCAAGCAAATCCCAGGGCCCTTCATAACCCCCATTGCACAGGCCAGCTCTTCTCTCCTTCATGAATGAAGCCCCACTTTTTCTGAGAAATGAAAGCAGTACTTGAGAAGAACCATCCGTGTCATGATTGCAAGTAAAGAAGGGGGAAAATAGAAGATAAACATTACCTGATTTTCCGTCTCTACTATGTCTGTTAAAGATCAAAACTAGGAAACAAAACATTTTACCTTCACAGAAAAGTGCTTCTTCTTGGGTGGATGCCAGACAGTAGCAGCTGAATGAAGAAAGGCCCTCAAAGGTGTTAAGGATGTAACTAGCACGTATGCTTTTATGATGACAGAAAAGTCTTGAGCTTTAAGGATATCCTTGTGGTTTGATGAAGCTGACACTTGATTCCTGGGAAGCAATAAGAATATAGAGAATTAATAAAGCACTTTTGTATTTCATTTAGCTGGAAAAGGAGCATTTGATTAGTGAAAGTAATGGAGACAATAATTTATGGGCTTTTTTTTTTTCCGCAAGTTAGATAACAGAGTAGATGAAAACAAGGCTGGAACCAAACTTTATATCAAGTCTTTTCTGTTGCCTTCAGTATTTGTAATCATAATTTGCAAACATAGAAGGTAACTATGGTAGAAGAGAGTTATGGTTGAGAGAATTTATTGGTAAATGCATTGTGATTGGAAAAGAAGATGTTACTAAGCCAGGACATTCAGAGTGAAAGTAAAAACATTAAAGTTTAAATTACAGAAGTGCACAAGCAGGGTACCAAATTTAACACTGATTGTTAGTGAATTCAGAAAAACAAAAAGAATGGAAAGACTATACTACCATAAGCACATTCTTCGGTATAATATAAGGCCACAAACATGTGGTACTGCATGCTTATACTAAGCAAATGCATGAGTTATGATTCCAAATATTATGAGAGACAATAACAACCCATAATTAAGCAGCTACTCATAAAATAATTATGCAAGCTATCTTTGTCTAGGAAGTGATGTAGCTCTCTAGATACAGCCTGTGACTCCCATAGTCTGCACAAAAAAAAATAAAAAAAAAAATTAAAAAAAATTCAGCTATAGAAACAGGGAAAAAAACAACAAACGGGGAAAAATCAGTTCTCTAAGATCTCATTACATAGGCAAACTTGAGCTATTCTAGGGAATATTCAGAAGTGTGGTTCTTACTCCACTAAAATCTCTGAATATCAGTGTACTTCATAGCAAATGCCATAAGAGAATGAGTGTACAAATTATTGTCTTTAAGATTATAACTAGTGGCAAAAGAGGGATTTCACAATCCCCTCCCATTTACATGTAATCTTTGTTGAGACATAGCTTCTTCAGGCCTCAGATTTGCCACTTATCGAAGATATTCTAATAATATCTATGTTAAACAGGCATTTTTCTTCCTCCCACAGAACAGTAGGACCACTGACCACAAAATCTGTGTGGTCCTGAAATACAGGAAACTACATTTGGACAGCCAGTTCTAAAGTATATTTTAGTTCTTCATTTAACAGAAAGCCTCTGTGCAAAAGACTATCTGTGTGTGCCTAGAATAGGGATCAGAAAGGGATGGGAACAGGAAACAGCTCAGCCACCATGAAACCTAAATATCCAAAGGTGACTCTGGATCAATATTTATTTATCTAGGAGTCTAAAGGCTATCAACATAAAGGCTTTGTTGTTCGTACACAAAGCACGTACAAGACTGGCTAATGCAGAAACAAACATGCAAGTATAAAAAATAGAACACATCTAAGTGCTCCATCTGCTGTGGTCTCCTTTCTCTCTCCATTCCGTGTCTCTGACTCCCAGCAAAATGCATTATGAAACACATATAATTTCTGGGGGTAAGGTATCATTAGCTTACAGCTGTGCTCCATTGGTTTGGCTCCATAAGTACTGCAGATGGGCGATGTCTTTCTTGACATTGCTTTTGCCGCCGTGGGTGATGTTGCTTGCAGTGTTGTCCCCCGACAGCCTGTGCCAACTGGAGCACTCTGGGGTGGCAATTGAGAGCTGCGTGTCTGAAAAGTACAAAGGGAATGAGAAGGAAAGGCAGCAGGCCACTGAAAATGCTGGTCATCTCCTGCTGTTAGGGAAAAAAAATGCGTAACAAACAACAGGTAGAGAGGAGCTAACAGAATCATCTGAAAACACACAATAACAAATGCTTAGACCATATCCTTTTTGGAACTGCTAGCAGAGAGCTTTGCATCTTCAAAGAACCTCCTTCCAGGGGCAAGCTCATTAGCTTAGCTGCTGTTGTCCCTTTATATGAGTGCATGAGTGCTGCATACAAAAAAAAACTCATACCCCCCCTTTTCCTTCTAAATACAAGTTCTTATTTCTGAACATAGAAGACCAAAACCTGCATTTCTCCCACAGTCCTAACTACAACTAATTTAAATGAGGAATGTATTTGTTTGAGAACCAAGAGACTTTGCCCCAGTGATCAGGCAGCTCAGGAGACAACAATGTACCTATGTTTCCATGCTGACAGCTAGGGCTACCTTTTGTGGTTCCTGAGATCTATGGCAGGTTTTGTCCTCCAGCTGAATGCAATGGAGCAGGACTGACATAGCAGAGCCCTCAAGATTACAGAGATGTGAATATTAATAGTAATCAAAATATTGTGATGTGATATCAGTCAATGGATGGTATGTATCTTTTATTCTTACTGTGCTTATAAAAAGGCACAGAGCTCTTATGTCATTATTTCATGCAGGGTAGTTTCCATTAATACAAACTCACCTCACTTTTAGATATTTCATATTCTTAACTAATAGTCAGGGAAAAGTCAAGCTATACACATTATTCCCAAACCTCATCATTTATCTTTTTAATGACACACAGCACTGTGCTAATGCTGGAAAGATATTGGTATAGCTTCTCTCTTAATGTGCACACTCTCCAGTGCATATCAAATGAAAAGAAAAAATGAACTTGTATTCCTGATGATGAGCTGTGAGCAGCCATTCAAGGAAAAGGATTATTTTTTTTTCATGCAGTTCCTGTTAAAATGACATCTTGATTGTTTATGTTCATCAGCTGTTCATCAGATCAGCTCCATTCAGCCTTCCAACCTCAAGTGGATCTAAAATTAATCTTGTCCTTTGCCTTACATGCACCATTTAGCAGGGGTAAAGGCTTCACTAATAAAAAACAGGCATTTATTAATATAGCACCTCATGTTCTGATTATATTCTCATCGACATCTTTGTGTTGTGCTATGCATTATAACTGATTTGGACTTTGCAAGTGCCTACCTGTCTGCTGATGGTGCACAGATAAAACAGGCTACTGTCTGCCTACTTGCCTGTGAGGAATGAGACAGTAAATTCCCATTAAGTGATTTATTTAGCAGACTTGCTTCTAAACATGCACAGGGAGAGAATCAGCTAACCAAGTGCTTTTGCTTTCCATGCCCATTCTGTGCAGAAATAACAGCATTTCACTATGGCAATTTCTAAGCTGTAAAGAGACTATGATGTTCCACCACAGTAATTTTCAGTTATTTATTTGCAAGTGCAAATAACTCCCACATTTTCATCATACAGTTTTGCTGTTCAGCCAAAACTAGAACTATAAAAACAAGTACACGTCTTCCACAATTCATGGCTGGCTTCAAAGATCTTTTTCTGATGTTTCCTCACATAGCAAAGAAGTCACAGCTCCTCAAGGAGCCATGCCCTGATCCCCTATGTCATGGTCCTGCAGCATATCCATCAGAAACAGCCCAGAACAGATTCCAGAATACAAATCTCATGACCTGTGCCTCCAATCAGCAAGAAAGGGTTCTATTGACCACAAGCAATAACAAAGAAACACAAAATCCAGTCAAGTCTGTCACAGCAATCCAAATAGTCCTTGTCAATACTGCAGAAAAGAGAGAGACATATTGGTCTACTGAGACAGCTACAGCCTGCAGCTGAAAGGAGGCAGAACTGCGGTATGAGACCAAGCTCCCCAAAGCATACTCAGATTAAGCCATAGCTGTGTAACAAAATTAACAGAACCGTAGAAAGGACAATCTCTCACCAAATTATCTGAAAATCAAATTTTGCCAAAGATGTACATTTTCCAGCAATTTTTTTAGTTAAAATGACAGTGTTGTTGAGAGAGCATGATTTTTGAAATGCAGTTTTCTTTTTTAAAAGAAAGCTAATATTTCACTGAAAATAAGAACTGGGCAGCAGAGAAGGGCTGTTCAGCTTGTTACTTGTTCAGTTTGCTCAAGAGAAAAGAGAAAGTATCTTTTCCTTTTTACAGTATTGTTTTAATTGTGTTGCTAAGGAAACAAGTAACCAGTATAGCATTAGCTCACAAAGCAGAGTTCAAAAATAATGACATGAGACTTTAACTTTACCCTGTTTAAATTTATCCCTTTAAAATCAGCATTTTAGCTGTTAGCGGAAATTGTCAAATTACTTTGACATTAATTTATTTTTTACTACCCAGTGAAGCTTTTACTGTAGCAGTTCATAATAAAAATGGATAAAGACAGATGAAACAAGTGTCCTGGAATTATCATAACCACCAGGGAGAAGCTCCTTAGGTTTGCCATAAATCACTGTAAAATGAGACTGTAAAATAAGACAAAAAGTGGAATTCTCAAAAAAGAGAAGGTTAAGGAAATTCAGGACATAGGTTATTATTGAAATCTAAAAATGGGACAATGGTTCCTAAATTATTCTGCATTCTGCAGACCATCCTGTTTGTATGGTACCTTAAGCATATCTATTGGGTTTCTGTTAGCACCCACCTGGGAGGAAGCTCATTACAAAGGGGCTGGAAGAAGAAGAAAGGGAAATGAGAATCTCATGAGGCACTTGCTCCTTGAGATGATAGATGATGGTACACCACCAGGCAGAGCTAATGAGGGAGTGACAGCTCCTTAATTTGGTGTATCTTCTACTAAGCAATGAATATCATTATCCTAATAATAAAAAGTCATCAGTAGCAGTGAACACTCAGATGCATCAGTTCTCATGGCAACTCTTATTACTCTTGCTACTGCTAAGAAGCAGTAACAGTGTTTGTTGGAGTTGTGAATTTGTTAATCAACATTATCATCAATGAAAATTAGACTGCAATGCCTTTACTGTTTGTGGTAATTGACACATTTTTCCATCTTGAAATCACTCAACAAGCTGTTGTTAATTAACCAGTCCTTTCAAGGATTGTAAATAACCAACATTCTTAGCAGCAACATTTTATAGTAGAAATGAGAGAGGCTCAGCAATTGTGTCAGCCAGCTTGGGAAACCAAACTAGAAATTACTTGAATCCCAGCATTGTAGTCTCCTGTCCAGATTACTTTTTCTTTTTTTCAGATTACATTTTCCTTTCCTAAAAGCACAGGCTTTTAAGATCAAAAGAAAAAGAAAAGTCAAGTGCCAAAAGTACATTTTGCTGCTACCATTTCCGATGATCTAATATAAAGTAAAGGACTTAAAATCAGACACCCACTTCCACTTTGAAAAAAAAAAAAATAATCATTGGAATTCTGGCTTGAAGAAGGCTTTTATCCTGATATCTCTGAAACAGTTCCACTGAAGACATTGCCAAACAGCACCATTTAACAAATCTCAACCTTAAAAGTCTCTTCTCAGTCTACCCGGAGTGTTCTCTGTCCATTTCAATGGGTAAAGAAGCCATTACAAATTCTTAGCTGAATTCACACATTAGCCCTCTAACCACAGCAATGGGTAAAACATAGATCCGAGTTGGAAAACAGCTGGGCAGCATATGTGAACAAGAGGTATAAGAACCACCAAAGCAAGTCAACACCTCTAGATCAAAAAAATTAAGTGCCCTTTTGTTAGATGAACTGGTCGTAGATTTTGTTCTGTCACTCACAGTCTCTCAAAGTACCAGAAAAAACAGATCAGATGACAGTGACAGCAACTACGTTGGTATCTAATGAGGCCTTTCAAACAGTTTACACAGCTATGATTTCTTGCTCCCTCTCCCCCATTTCCGGCTTCCAAGTTATTCACTTGTCTTTGGCTCAGATTTCTGGAGTGTAACATGAGATTCAACCCATGTGCAATAAAGAATAGCTGATTTAAGAGTTACAGCATGTGGCTGAGCAAAAGATTTACCAAAGACTAAAAGTACTTTTGGACAAATCGAGACCTCCTGGCACCCAACCAGGTCATTGTTCACGTGGTTATGGCCATGTGCACAGATGGCAGATGGAATGCATAGGTCAGTCTGGACATGTGGTGATCTGCAAACGTAATGGATTCAACAGCAGAAGATCCCTACAAGTTCTCTGGTTGAACTAAGTGACCATCCCTTACCTGAGAGAAAAAGAAAGCAGGATGAACAAGAATGTGCCCTGCTCTTTATCCTTTCTTTTACATAATTCTTTGATATTACAAGAAAGGTTATGATATGGTTTTCTTTGTTAAATTTTTTAGTTTGCTCAAGATCAAAGAGGCTATATTATACACACTCGGGAAAAAAAAAAATAAAAAAGAAGAAGAAGAAGAAGAAAAAGACAGCAAAAATCATTGTCTCTGTGGGAAAAAAAAAGGTCATTTTGTTTCTAAAGTGCCCATCAACTGTCAGAACTTTTAGAAACATTTCAAGTGCAATTGAGTGACTTTGAAAGTCCATGGCTGTGTAATGAAGCACAAGGCTACAGATGGGATGAAGCACGTAGAAAGTGCTGAGCTTTGTTCTAAGAACATCATCAAATCATTAATTTATTTCAGACAGGACATTTAAGCTCAGCACATTAATATTTGCAGTCCTCATCCAACTGCTTTTCTTTTAAGCAGGAAAAACATCACAGCTTTAGAACACAAAAGGACACTAATCCTGGATGTATATGGCAGACTTTCCATCTGAAATCTTCTGAACACGTTCTTTTGTTTTCATAGTGGCAATCTGTTTCTAACAGGATCTTGAATTTTCTGACACAGGAAAAGAAGAAGTAATAATAGTCACCCCTGTTATTTTCAGCAGTTTTTTTGATACAGCACAATATTCAGAAAGGACCAATAACAGGTCATTTC